TGATGTTTTGATCATCTTCTATGTGGTGTCAATTAAGGACGTACAGTAGTTGTGATATGTGCCACATGCAGTACGTTTACATGAAATTTATACTAATTTTAGTGTTTTAAATACAAAATAAACCTGACTTTAATGTTTAAAAGGTGTTGTAGCTGGATGATTTCCAGCCATTACCTCTGCCTTCCAGGCAAACATCTAATTAAATTGCACTCCACATCCTTTCATGGGTTTTCAATCCTTTGAAAAATGGTGTTCAATTGCTGCTCATTTCATGAATCAGCACATTAAAGAGGAAATCAGACAGCTGCATCACTGCTCAAACACTGCTGCTATGCCACCTCAACACTATTGCAGATAACAATAGTCAATAGTTCTGAGCATTAGACCCATAGATATATGTTTTATTATTATTTGATCAAGACCAGTCTTTGTAACTTTTCTTAAATACCTTCAAACTTTCATAAACAGATTTCACCCCAAGATTATAATTTGCTGTTAATTAACTTTCCCTCATGTCATCCAAGCTGGAGGTGACTTATTTCTTCATTGGGATTTTAAAATATGTTTAGCTTAAACTGTGCTTTGAAAGTCAAATTAATTATTAAATTAATTCAGTAATCAGAAATATATACATATAACCAAAACCAAATGTGCACTTATTGGTCCTGAGGATACATTGAGATGAGAAATAATAAGAGTATTAGTTACAACAATAGTGCCACTGCTTAAACAAATCATGTTTCTAATACACTATCCTGCAGGCACAGGACGTCAACATGACATCACACTGACATTGTACCCCAACATACTCCAACGTCATGGGGTCCAACATCCAACCTAAAATCAACCAAATATCAACGTAATTTAATATCATTATTGAACGTCAAAAAAAAAAAAAAAAGATGTCCTAGATGCTGGCTAGACATTGACGTTTGGTCACCTGACGTCATGACCAAAAATCTAACATTATATTAACTTCTTATGATGTGTGACTGCTGGGTACCTTACAAAAGTTGTTGTCAATCCCAGTTGTAAGAGCAACAAATAATGACTTGTTGACTAACTTGACAAGTTGGTCATTTGGAAAAAGTGGCAGAAGGTAGATTTAATCAGTAGAACAGAGTTCATCTGTTGAACTGCATCCCAATCATCACAAATACTGCAGAAGACCTATTGGAACCCACGTGGACCCAAGAGTCTTACAGATATCAGTCAAGTTTGGTGAAAAAAAAAATCATGGTTTGGGGTTACATTCTGTATAGGTGTGTGCGAGAAATCTACAGAGTGGATGGCAACATCAAAAGCGTGAGGCATCAAGACATTTGTGCTGCCCATTACATTACAAACCACAAGAAAGGGCAAAATCTTCAGCAGGATAGGATTCTTATACCTCCACATCAAAGTTCCTGAAAGCAAAGAAGGGCAAGGTGTACAAAGTTTGGTCAGCCCAGTCACCAGGCATGAACATTAATGAGCATGTCTGGGGTAAGATGAAGGAGGAGGCATTAAAGATAAATCCAAATCAGTTATTTAATATGAGTTATTAAAACTATTATGTTTAGAAATGTGTTGAGAAAATCTTCTCTCCATTAAACAGAAATTGGGAAAAAAATAAACATGGGGGCTAATAATTCTTACTTTAACTGTTTACGGTGAACACCTGCTTCCTTACATCTAAACTATTTTCTTACAATTTTTTTTTCCATGAATCTTTGATTATAACACTTATGTGGACTAAAGTTAATACAGTTGTAAAACATAGCAGCAAGCAACATCATCCTTGATACTATAAAAAGCTAAGGAGATCAATTTGTTTTGCCTGAATTTAATTCTATAGTAAGTATTAAAGTAGCAATTGAAATTGTATGAATAAACAAAAGCCACAATTTCAGCTAAAAAAAAAGAATAAAAATAAAAAATTGTATTCCACTGAAGAAAAACTACCTCTTGGATGAGTAAACTAACAGCTTGTTGTTATCTTTTTTTTAAAAGTTATTCCAAAAAGGGAAATTTCCTCATACATGACCTATTCCTTTAAGGCAATGAGTTTAGCTGCTGTTCAAACACTTCTCCCAGTTTCCTGGCTGATCTAGCTGACATTAGTGTTGTCAAATCCTGCTGTGTGCTGATGCTGAGGTCAGTGGATAGTCTGGCTGATAATGAAGAGTTCGGTCTTTGCAAGATGACCTGGAGATTGCGTTCTCTGGGAAAAAAAAAAAGTTTCTGCAGAGATGGAAAAGAAGCAGGAGAAGCTGTGCGACTCTGTGAGTGGGCTTGGTGAGGTTGATGGGTGGTAAGACTAAAGAGTTATTTTAGTTCACTCGAATGGTACATATCATATTATTTATTCTGGAAATGTTTTAAAATGTATTTATTCATTGTTTTACTGAATGATATAATATCTATCTATCTATCTATCTATCTATCTATCTATCTATCTATCTATCTATCTATCTATCTATCTATCTATCTATCTATCTATCTATCTATCTATCTATCTATCTATCTATCTATCTATCTATCTATCTATCTATCTATCTATCTATCTATCTATCTATCTATCTATCTATCGTCTGTATATCTGTCTATATGTCTGTCTGTCTGTCTGTCTGTTTGTCTGTCTCTGTCTGTCTGTCATACTATTGTACTGTCATACTATCTATCAACACTATCTTTCGTACTATCTATCTACCATACAATCTACCATACTCTTTGTATTGTACTATTTTCTCGAGTGTAGGAAGGAAGGGGAATTACATGAGTTAACTCATGATCTGATGTTATCAATATATTTTGTCCCTGATAATGATACTTTTTTACAATAAAATCATCCATGATATATCATAATATTTGTAAATGAAAGAGGCATCCGCTGTGTAAAACATAAGCTGGATAAGTTGGAGGTTCATTCCACTTTAGCAACCCCAGATTAATAAATGGACTAAAAAAAATGAATGAATGAATGAACGAATGAATGAACAAATGAATGGACAAATGAATTAATGAATGTATATCTTAACATGTTTTATAGAATTAGCAAGTGGACAGCTGTCAAACAAGCTTAAAAATGTGAATGTGCAGACAGTAGTTTGTGACGAAAAAGGTCACATCTCTAGCCATAGCAAAAACATCTCAGTGTTGTGCAAAAAAGAAAAAAAAAAGTCAAATTACCAATTTATTGTTTTCTAGTTTTCTGTAAACTTGAGACACTTACTGCAGCCTGGACAACATATTTTATTTAAACCTAGAAACATTCTACACATAGCCCTGGTTGATTTTCAATGCAAAATCATGCATCCCACTAGTCATATTTTTCTTCAAGAAAAGTAACTGATCAACATGTTCAGAGGTGTAAGTAGACTTCTTATGACCAGCATTTAAGATGTCTCCTGTAGTTGGAAACATTAGTTCCGCTGATACCCTAGTCCTGGAACACTGAACACCCTGCAAAAACTTAAGGTTGAACCCGCTTCCCTAATAATTAATAAAAACTTTAATAAAGTACAATACAGACATACATTTTGAACACATTTCATTGTTATTGTTCATTTACTGGTTTGCTGGGAATTAGAACTGAATTAAGAAATAGTTTGAAACAAATCTTTGTGCTTAACATACGAATTCAAATATATAAGCTGATGGATGTCTTCAGTGAAGTGTGTATGACACCGTTTCCAAAGTAGAGTAAAGAGTAAAAATAAAGAGAAAGTAAAAAGGCTGAATGGAGGAAGCTTGATCTTTATCCTCTCTGCAGATGGTTTGTTTAACTCACTAGTGAATAGCAAATGCACCATGACGTGACGCAACTGACTCTTAAAGGGAATGGGAGATGAGACTTTAGCTATGTTTCCATCCACCTATTTTTATGCGCATTTTGCATATTCACATAAAAAACGGTTGATGGAAACGCCATGATGCGCATATATTTTGAAAATGCGCATTTAAAACTTATGCACATAACTGAGTAGATTAAACTTTTTATTTGATAAGATGCACATAAACTGCGATGGAAACACTTTTACCGCACAAATTTCAGTATGCTCATTAAAGAGATCATGTGATGATAAAAATGTGTATTAATGGACAGACCAGCAGGCTGAGCACACAGTAAAACATCTGAAATGTTTTTTTGGTCATTCTAAAACACCTTACTATTTAAGTATTAGCGTTATTTTATTATTAATGACCTCCAGAATCAAGAGCGTCTATGCTCCGCCTCTGACACCTTCAAATGCTTCTGAGGCGCAAGTCATTCATTAGATAAAGAAATAATTGATGCAGCATCTCCTACCGCAGTAAATTCAGTTTTTACTATTAATATTTGGCGCCAGATAATCAGGAAGTGATGATTTTATTCACTTTATTTGCACGTCTTTTATGCGATGATCCAGTTTCGTGCATTTTTGGATGGAAACTTTAGCTTTTGATGCACGTTTTTCTCAAAACACACCCACAACCATTAAGGGATCAAGCACAACCCTGTTAGACCATCCGCTGCGGTGCATAATGTATTTTTCTGTCCTTAAAATATCAAAAGTGGATTCAGACACTGCCTTAATGCTTTTGTGCTATGCGCTTAAGACTTTGCGCCTAGATTGTTAAAATAGAGCCCATAGTCTTTTCATGAAGACCCTAAAGTATCATATAAAATTGTGTGAAATGGACATCCAATGTTACCTCTAACATAATTCTTTTATCTTTGCGTTAGATCCAGTAACAAATTCCTCTAGTAAAATCACTTCCACTGTTCAGCCTCTATCTGGCACAGGCATCCCGAGGCCAGTATCTTGACGTTGAAGGACCTTTACTGTCTTGGTGATTGTGTAATGAGAATAAACCTTTTCTTCACTTCACTGAATCATTTAATCATTAAGCTCTTGGATTCTCATCATAAGAAATCTGGCCCCTGGAAGTAATTCACTTCCAACAGCTCCAGGCAAAAAAAAAAAAAGAAGTGAGGTGAACATAAGAACCAAAAGCCATTGTACAGACAGAGTCACCTCAGTTAAAATGCTAATCCACTCACGGGCCAGTGTGGGAGTCTCCCCTGAGCCAAGCGCTATGGCGGTCGGATGTCAGATGAGGCTCGGTGATGTACTGCAACCGACCTTTCCACAGATGCGTTTCCTGGAGGAGGTTACGAGCCCCCCTGTAGGACCTGATCTTTGGAGCCCGATGACATGAATTAAGCGGAGCGTGAAGAGCCGGCGCAGTGAGGCAACGCAATACCGCCACGGCCCGAGTAAGTCCCACACCGAGGGTCACTGTAATCTCGATTAATCACCTCCAACAGATGGCCTCCACTGAGAGAAAGAGAGAGAGACAGCTCATAGCTGTGTTGACAAGAGTGTCGCCCCAGCTTTGCTTTACATCAAGCTTTCATCAGTAATTAGTTTTAATTAGGCTAACAGGCCACAGTGTCTTTGAGCTGCGATACAGAGCTAATAGGGTTATGAGGGGTAGAAATAATCCTTTTAAACAGAGTAATCTACGAGTGACCTCTGTGCAGGTCACGGATTTTGAACATAAATAGTCAGAAATGATTCATAGCTTGTGTGCCGTCCATCCATATTTATGGATTATTAGCTTTCTTGGCCCGTATCTGTCTTCCCTCGCTCACTTTCTTTTAATTTGGTGCATATTTTTCAATTAATGGTGTCCTTGCTGTTAATCAATTTGAACAAAAGGACATTTAATAGCTTCTCTAAAGCTCGGTAGCTCAAATGCGCTGCGACAGACCTCTGGGACCGAGAGAAGGAGAGAGTGAGAGAGAGAGAGAGAACGCATCAGGGGACAGATGAAGAGAGTTGAAGTTTTATGAGAAAATTTTCCACTTTGAAAAACATACTGCGAGAGCGCTGGAAAGGCTCTCAGGTGTACATCGGCTGCCTGACAGAGACTGAATTTGTCATCTATTTCAATACCGCGTGGCAGAAATGACTCTGAGGAGAGGGATGGAACAAGGGATGAAAAAAGGAGAAAAATCAGCCGAGCCGTATGAGTGAAGGAAGGTGAAGATGAAAGATATTTCCCCCATTTGTGTGTCTCCAGTCCATTGTGTGTGTGTTTGTGTGTGTGTGTGTGTGTGTGTGTGTGTGTGTGTGTGTGTGTGTGTGTGTGTGTGTGTGTGTGTGTGTGTGTGTGTGTGTGTGTGTGTGTGTAAAATGATGCGTTATATGGGTCATGTGAAGATAGATCTGCCGCTCCATAATTGAGGCAGATCAGATTTGTCAGCACAGCAGGAGTCTGTTCTTTGAGCTGACTCGTGCACACACATACACACACATACACACACATTGCTGCAGTGATTTTGGCATTGATTAGACTAGTGCTTTCATCATTACAACTGCATCAGAGAAAAAATAAAGGGGACGATGACGATATTACACACTTCACAGCAAACATGACATGGAGATTTATCAAATATGATCTGTCTTTCTAATGACCCACAGACACTTGTAACTGATCTACTGGGGGTTTCACATCGGGCAAGAGCGATGTTTGTATGTACAGTAACACATTGTTTTATAGTGTACACAACCATATGGCCAATTGGCACAGAGCTCAGCTATGATTTAGATTACATTCACATGGAAGTTTTGCAGATTCTAAAAAGGTTGCTTTCATACACACACCATTTAAGAAATAGGCATATACCAGGTTTTGTTGAAATATTGCTGATAAACTTCCGTTCAAAAAACTTAGCAGCAACTGCAGCTCGAACACATCTCTGTAATCCATAATTGTTGTTGATACTGGTTGTTATGTGCAGGGTTATTCATCCTTCTTCTGGTTATGTGGTACTGTGATGTCATCATTCATTTCCTTCATTTTCCTTCGGCTAAGTCTTTTTATTTTATCAGGGGTCACCACAGTGGAATCAACCGCCAACTTATCCAGCATATGTTTTATGCAGCGGATACCCTTCCAGCTGCAATCCAGCACTGGGAAACACTCATACACACTCATTCACACACATACACTACAGCCAATCTAGCATATTCAATTCAACTATAGCATATGTTTAAACTGTGGGGGAAACTAGAACAAGCGACTTTCTTGCTGTAAGGTGACAATTCTAAACACTAAGCCACCATGCCACCCAGTGATGCCATCATTGAAGGGCTTTGCCTATTAACACCGCTATGCGTCAGGTCATGTTTTAATGTTTAATTTTAACTCTGTTACACATTATTAAAAAGGTTTGTTTCAAAGTATTGACAGTACCAGTGTCATGTAGAGAAAAGGCAGAAATTATAATAAACGTGTGGATTGACCAAAAACCATTGCTGTGTGAAGATCAGGGTGGTGATAGAAATCATGTCCCACAAAGAACCACACAAATAGTTTTCCATTAAATCACATTCAACTAGCTTATGTGTTATTATTATTATTAATATTATTATTGCTTTTTTAAAGATTTATTGTAGGTACTTTGCCTTTATTTTGATAAGACAGTGTATATTGACCGGAAGTTCAGTTGAAGAAAGAGAGGAGGCTGACATCAGGAAAGACCTATGAGAATCAGGACACAAAATTGGAACCAGCATGAAATGCTCCTAAAAACTTTTATTTTCATTTAGCCCTTTCACTCGTGTGATCAAACAAGTGTGATTAGACTTGGCTGGTCTCTGATGTGTACTATCACACTGGTGTGATTAAAACGTTCAGAGGGTACACCATTCTCAACTTCTGAAATTCAAGACTAAACTCAAATCACATTTATCCATGCTTTCAAACAAAAGACATTGATTTTAGGTTTCAGACATTTAAATACACATAATTACAAGCAAAACATATGGTTTGTAAAATACACTTGCATTTATATGAGATGCCAATAATACTTGTTTTTCAATATAACTGGACGATGTGCTTTGTTTATGTAAGACACACTGTTTATGTTACTAGAATATTTTTAGTTGCTAGAAGGGTTGCTACAATCGTAATTATTTATATAAATGTATTATTTATTAAGTTACGCATTAATGGTATTTTATCAGCGTCTACCCCTACCTCAACTTTAAACCCATCACTCACGGTAATGTAAAAATATTGTTTCTTGTACAATGTCAAAAAAATTGTGCAATTTTGATCGGAGTATCCTCAGCTGTATCCCATCTAGATCTTACCACGCTGCTGGAGAGGGTAAAGTCTGAATGGGATACAGCTGAGGATACAAGATGGACGAGAATGCAGTGTATTCTTAATAACGGACACAAAAAAAAAAAAAAACTCCCTTCTCACACAGGAAGGTCAGCTGGAGTATTTAAAACACACATGAAAGGGTTAATTTATTGATTTATTTAACCTCAAGACATTTATTTAATGGAAGTATTCTAAAGCCATTCCACTGCCCCCACCCATGATATAAGAAGGAAATACGCTTAAGGTAATTGAGGGAGTGAGTGCTTTAATGGCAGCTCGTTCAGCACTTATTACTACAGCCTTCACTATCACACAATCCTCCACAGATCACTTTAAATAACCATTTGTTGAAAGCAAGTATGCTTGTCTTGTCAATATTCTATTTTAATGAGTGTGTGTGTGTGTGTGTGTGTGTGTGTGTGTGTGTGTGTGTGTGTGTGTGTGTGTGTGTGTGTGTGCCTTGTGTTCCTTACATTGTAAAGGCTAAATGTAATACAACTTAACTCTCACATATAGTCACACACTAAAGCGAAGCAGGGCTACGCCCAGTCAGTACCTAGATGGGAGACCACATGGGAAAGCTGGATTGCTGCCGGAAGTGGTGTTAGTAAGGCCAGCAGGGGGCACTCAACCTGCGTTCTGTGTGGCTCCTAACGCCCCAGTATATTGATGGGGACTCTATACTGCTCAGTGAGCAATGTTAAACCGAGGTCCTGACTCTCTGTAGCCGTTAAAAATCCCAGGATGTCTTTCGAAAAAGAGCAGGGGTTTAACCCCAGCCAAATTGAATCATGAACAAACTGCCATGTTTATCTTTGCCTTTTGGACTATTATGAACTGGGAATGACAAAGACTCTCTAACAGAGTTTGCATGTGCTGGTGAAGATTACAGACACAGATGAGAGGTTTGTGCTGACTGTGGGCTATATTGTGTGTGTTTTTGAACTCGAATAAGTATTTAATGTATGATGCGTGTAGTTTTACTGTAATTAATAATATATCGGAGGCCATAAGGAGCTGTATGTGTTCATATAGGTATGTTGCATTTATGTATTTATTTTATATTACATTACTCTGTTACAGTAGCCTATTTTGCACTGTCATTGATCTGCAGTTACAATCAAATCATGTTCATAGAAAAGTTAGTAATAAACATTTATAAACAAGTAATTATGTGTATAAAGCATCTGTTTTGTGAGAAGTGCTGCTCATTATGATATGTGAACGACCCGTACAGCCTTACTGTAGACATTTATTCGAGTGAGCATGAGGTCGACTTAAACTTTGTCATACACCACGCCCACCAAACAGGGGTACCCTTTGTGGTGGAAACACAAGCCTGATAAAGGTGACCCGTACCGACCCGAACCATACCGTACTGTACTATACCAGTCAGTGGAAACGAGCCATAAGATAGCTGTACATGTGAATGTGTATGAGTGTGTGTGCTTGCATGTGTAACTATTACTCACTGGGCTTCATGATGCAAACTTTGACTCACATTATCTGAATGAAAGCTTCATATGCTAATAAAAAGTTTAGATTTTAATAGGTGGTGGATTTAGAAAGTGCAGATCCAGTTCTTATTTCAATATATGTGAGTATCATGGGTGAAATGTATATTGGTCACATAGATTTCCAATTTCTGTCCTGTCTGAAGGTTCGATTTTTGTTGGTAGTTGTACTGTTTTGATGGACAGTAGACTACAGACATCAAACATGGGCGATTACACCACTGACAGCAGTAACTGCTATTGTACGCAGTTGGCAAATGTTGAGCTAGGGGAATGAAGTTGAACTCACAAAAGCCCACTAGTAAGTCAACTGTAAAGCTGTGACTGTTCATCACTTTCTTAGTGTTTAAATGGTCTGTCACAGAGCAGCAAGTTCCTGCCCTGGATTTGATGGTCCACTCTCATGAAAGTCATTTTGCTCTTAGCTCAACGTCCAGTTCTGCCAGCTGCGCATTAATAACCGGTAAAGATAACACGTGTTTGCAGCTTAGTGCAATCATACAAACGCCACCTTCCACCCCTGCTGAATATTCACTAGTACACAAAAAATAGAATGTGTTTGTTGCTTTTTTAGAACAGCTGTGCTAGGAAGCTTATGAATGCAGTGCTGGCAGTGCATGTTTTCTGGAAAGCTATGCAAGTTGTTTGAGCAATTTATGTTTTGTGGTGTGGTATTGGTTTAGTAGAGGTATATATGATTTTGGCTTTAATATTGTGACACAAAGATGTAATATTGAAACTTTGAAGCACTGAAATAAAATGCAAAACCCTGTAAGAAACCTTTTTATTTCCAGATATATTTGAAAGGTGAAAGTGTAAATAAAGTACAACTTGGAAACTTTGCATTCACAAAGTAATTTAGAAGTGACGAAAATCTATATCCATAGGCTCTTTTCTTTCCTTCATTTTCCTTTTCATTTGTAAGTTTCATTTCTTTCCAATCATTTTTCACTTCTTCTTCATTTCCCTTTCCACTTCATTATTCCTCTTTTCCAGTCCACTGCCTTTACAATTCACTTACTTTTAGTTGCATTTCTCCCTCGCTTCCTTTCCTTATGTTTATTTTCCCGTTACTTTTCCTTTTAAGTCCTCACTATTTTCATTTTTTTGTTTTTGCATTGCTTATTTTTGTTACCTCCTTGTTATTTTCACATTTTCATTTTTAATTTGTGCACTTTTCCTTAATTGCCATGTCTTGACCTTTCCTTTGATACTTTTCATTTTCACTTATTCCACTTTGTCTTCCCTTTCTTTAGTCTTCCATTCAATCCCTCCTCGCCCTTTTTTTTAATATTT